AAGTCTCTGCCCAGCGTTAGAGGAAGGGGGAGTTGGCAGCTTTAACTAGCATGGAACAGTAGGAAGAAGAACCTGTCAAAGCAAAGCCAACCCTCATTGCTCTGTGAGAAGGATGCTAGTCTCCCAGAGTCATAAAAGACGCTGTTTGACTGCTGTGACTCACTTTCCCTTGGCAGGATTCACAGCCCTGCAGACAGCCATTTTCACTAAAAAAAAAAAAAAACAACCTTCCCTAAAGAAATGATTTGAAGCCACTATCAGCTATTTTAGAGGACAAAAGCAGGAAAATAACAACTTAACATAGTTGTTCTCTGGTTGCACAATGCTCACTCCAACCTTTAGTCTTGGAACGGTTTTGAGAAAGACTTCATCCTTTGAACAACAGTTGCCTGGTCCAGCCTTCCTCCCTTTCCAGGCCGGATGGGGATCCTGCAGTTCAGGCAGCTTAGGGGTCTCCACTGCTACGCAAGGTAAGACGCTGCTGCCTTACCTTGGAAGAACAAGCCACTCGGTAACCTTGTTGCTTCAGATGAAACTGCCAACCATACAACAGTATCAGCTCCCTGGGCCTCTGTGCGCAGCGTATTCTTCATCTTCTGATAGAAATCCGGCATCGACGATCTCACAGCTAGAAAGAAGAACAATGGAACGGTGGTCTGCAATGCAAGGCTTTTTTGAGAAAAAAAAAAAAAAAAAGAGCAACTTAAAATTGCCACCATGAGTGTACGATGAAGAGAAAGCATCTCAGAGTTTATGAAAGAGAATGAGTATCTCCTCATAGCTAGGAGTACAATGACTTGTGGTGGAATAGTGCTAAACTGCCAGATGATCCACCAGTTGTTTGTTTGGGTCAAATTACAGGGACAAAACTAGTAAGAACTGAGAAGAGGGTCAGTGAGAGGTTCCTGAGCCAATTCCATTCTAACTGTAAAGAAGACATGGAGGAAATAGAAATACCAAAACCCAGGTATTCTAACAGGATTTTTAGCTCTTATTTTCTCACTAGTTTTAGGAAACCAGTTGCAGCACTGTATTTAAAAACTATATAGTGAACAGTACCTAAACCAACTATATAATTTATGTTTAAACTCTGGTTTCTTTTTATTTTGTTCAACAGGTGATGATTAAAGGCCCATCCCCTGCAGCTATTTATTTTTGGGGGTTGGAGAGTCCTTGAACATTAAAGTGGGATAACTTTATGGTTCATTAGATTTGAAAGCCACAAAGGACGTGCAAAAATAAATGTAATTTTAAGAAAAACAAGTACTAGGATATTAAGTTGGAAAGGGCAGTTTTCAAGTGTAATCTAGACAGGGTAAATGCTTCTGTCATCAGAAGCAAATTTGGGAAACTGCATCCCTAGAAAAGACCTAGAGATCGGATTGCTAGTCTTGGGTGTTAGGGGCTGGTAACACATTGCCGAACGCAACATGCATACTGGATAACTGATGCTGGCCTGCCTGCTGAGATGCAGCCACTGAAGAACAGCTGCAGCTCAGACAAAGAACTGTCTGGCCAAACACACACGCTGCCTTCTCCATGGCAATAAACATCTAGAGGAAAAGCAGAGGAACAGGGCTGGTACAATGGTGCGTGCTCCATTTTCTCACATGCCTTTGCAAATTCCCAACGTCTGCACATTGGTACTCACAGAGGCAAAAGCTCCTACCTGTGTGTTTAAAAGCCTTACTACAAATGTAACTTAAAGGTTAGCTTAAAGCACTACGGCTCGGCTGTGCATCTGTGCGGGGTGGGAACCATTCATTGTCCATTACTATTCTCTGGCTATACACAGATAGCAGACACTATGCAGAACAGAGCTACCAAGGGGGTACAAAACTACTTCAAGCACCAGTTTGCAGCCAAGGAATCACTGCATCTGTTGCAGAAATCTACCCACAAGTCTCATTTCTCCTTGCTTTTAGACCAATCTTGAAAAGAAAAAAAATGTAGTCGGAGTGTCAAGAAGATGTTACCTGGAGTGTCTGCCCAGCCGGGGTGCATAACAGAGAAATGGATGTTTCTGTGAGCTTTTGCCCATTGTTCTGTCAAGACAACTTGCTGTCTCTAGGAGAGAGAAAAGAGTGTCAGACCAGCATCAGGTCCAATAGCCTGTCCACCAAGTTAGTTCCCAGGGAGATAAACTACATCAAATGTGCTATAAATACAAGGACATTTACGTATAGCAGAAATATCCCCTTCCTCATCCTGCTTGGATTTACTAATTTTGTCAGAGACCATCATGGTCATTGCAATCCATGTCCTGGCCACAAGCTTACTTTTAAAGTGGTTACATCGCTTTTACTGACCACATCTGCTTGTTGCAGACAGTAGGTAAGAACTGAGCAGGCAGAAAGGGTTTGTCAGCTAAAGACAGTTTTCCCCCTTGAGACTCAAATCCAATCAAGTGAAAGTCTAGCCATGCCCTCCATGCAAGATGGTATGCACTCATAAGCGCACGCCATCATACTCCTGAAGATTACACTCCTGAAGACTTGGAGGGGACCTAATAGCTGCCTTCCAATACCTGAAGGGAACCTACAAGAAGGCTGGGGAGGGACTTTTTACAAGAGTGTCCACTGATAGGACATGGGGAAAGGGGTTTAAGTTGAAGGAGAACAGATTTAGATTAGATCTTAGGAAGAAATTCTTCAGTACGAGGGTGGTAAGACTTTGGAATAAATTGCCCAGAGAAGTTGTGGATGCCCCCTCTCTGGTGTTCAAGGCCAGGTTGGACGGAGCCTTGAGTAGCCTGATCTAGTTGAGAGGCATCCCTGCCCATGACAGGGAGATTGGATTAGATGATCTCTAGGGTCCCTTCCAGCCTATGCCATTCTATGATTATTGCTTGTGTGTCTCTGTACGGGTTGGATGCAATAGGAAAGCAACAGTGAACAACAGGCTTTTTGCAAAGCCCATGCCATAAGTCACCTAGCAAACAAGGGCTTTGTTTTTAAAATCATGGAATGTACCTTGTTTTGAGCATACACCATAGTTCCATCAAATGTCCCACTTCCCGACTGCAAGTCAGATATGTTTAATTTTTGAACTAGCATGCCCCCAGAAGAGACAGTTATCTGTAATCAAATGAATGAAAAACGAATGAAAAACAAATGAATGAAAAACAAAACCAGGAATTCCCTACAACCGCACTCATGCACGTAATGTAGTCTTCAGGCTGTATTTAGAAGTCCCTAGGGAGCAGGATTCCTCTGCATACTCTTTGCACTATGCTTGTGCTCATGTGTGGAGCATACCTGGAGATGAGGTGGAAGAAATAGATTTATTTTTTTTTGTTTAGAAAGTGGTTCTCATTCAAAGTGGTGTTGAATTCTTCAGGGAACTTTGTGCTTCTTCCTTTTGAAAAGTAATCAGGAGAAAGAAAATAGCAGAATAGCACTATTTGTAGTTTATATGTTCAGCATTTATAGAAGCTAACTAGAAAACAAGAGACACTGTACAAAACTTGGGAAATTTCATTTTAAAAAAACGTACCTGCTGTCCTATTTTACACCAAAATCTCTAAGGTCCTTTTAAGCCTATACTTCTACTATAGTTATTTTGCACTATGCTGCAGGAGATAACTTGCCCCAGGGAAAGGAAAAGGGGAAGTTTCCAAAGGACGTGTTTTACTCTGATTTCCAATGAAGGGTTGAGGGCAGCAGGCGGGAGCTTTGCCTTAGAGAAAGAGGTGGTTGTTAGCAAAATCCAAAAGGATTCTACAGATGCTCACAGCATTACAAGTAATCCTGCATTGCTAGCATGGTAAAAGAAATGCTGTCACAAACCAGAAGGTAAGAATAATAAACCACCACTTTTCAACAGCATTGCAGACTCACCACTCTGGCATCAGCTTCTTTTTCCAGGAGGGGCAGCAGGGCAGTTGTCAGAATGTATGTACCTACAAGACAGAAAGGCACCAACATTAACCTTTCTGTCCAACAAATCTTTCTTCTCTCCTCACCCTCTATAACAACCCAAAACCCAAAGTCTCTTTATTTCTGAAACTTGACCTGAATTTAATGATGATTTTTTTTGGTGCTTTACCTGCAATATGCCAACTCAGCCTGTAGCAGTCCATGTTGCTGCATACTTATCAAAAGGCACATCAGTTATTTTATAGACTTTTATCTTTATTGTGCCTGCAGAGCAAACTGCTCGCTACATTCAGCCATAACTCTGAAGGCAAAATGGCTCAGGTATGGATTTCCTTGGGTGTTAGGTGATGCCAGTGAAGAAATAAGGAATGCATTTCCACTCTATGCATGGCATATATACACATATCTATGTTGGGTCATGAACAATAGAACACAACACAGTTGTGTTTCTTAGGCCCTTGTATAGGCACTTAAGACTCATCCACTTTTGTCTTCTCACTGTGAAAACACTTTGAGTATGGCAACACTTTTGATTTGTGTTGCACACAAAAACCACCTCTTAAATCCCCAGCATGACTCTTACAGAAGATAAGGAACCCTTGGAGGAAAAACATTAATGTTGCATGCCCAAGGCTGAGCTAAGAATACCTGGGAAAACTTAACTGTGTCCTTCCTCGCTTTAATCGTGTTAATTTAGCACAGATTTGCACACGCATCGCACGAATATATTCCATTAGAGCTGTTACCATGACCAGCAAAGTTTGTTATTCAAAACACTGTTCAACAGCTAGTCTGTCTGATTTAGATATACCAAGCAATGTTTCACTCACTCAAGTGCAACACAGGGATTTTTGTTTTGTTTTTCTTTTCAGAAATATTGCTTATTTTTTTCCCCTTTAAACTGTATTTTTTAAAAAATCTGTTTAATTCAGAATTACTCTAGCCCCATTTAGTCTAGTGTTTCTGTGTCGAGTACAATACTTCCCTCTCATCTCTTCACTAATGGCTCTAGTCCAACAATTCCATGTCAGCGATAAATGTATTTTTTTCCATGAGCTACCGAGGCCATGTTTTGCACTAGACATGAAGACTTCAGCATGTGTCTTTATAACTTCTCTTCCACAGAGGCAATGAGATCACCCAGTTAAAATACAGCATGTTTATAAATGTGCTACCCAAGTCAAACGTGTTACGTGCTTGGTGAACAAACCGTTCGGTTCCCCCGTCAGTCACAACAGTCTTCATATTCTCTGTATAATCAGAGGGACATCCGCACGCACACACGATATATCTAAAATCCTGGCAAATCAAACAAAGTGGATGCACAGCAGATGAGCAAATGCAGCCTGTCTTCAGCAGAAAGCGCAAGCAAAGGCAATTGCTAGTGAATAACGAGAGCCCGTACATCTCCCCTGGTAGTGGTGGGGAGACTGAGCGATGACATCATTAGGACAAGAACTACCGCTGATTGTCATGGGAGACTGCCACGATGAAAAAAAAAAAAAAAAATCACTTCAGTACAATCTGAGAGCCTGGATTAGATTTTGATTTGCTATGGATTCTTCAAATGCAAAGTAACATCAAGTCTTGGTTAAATACACTGCATTTCCTAAAGGCAGAGCTGCAATGCACCAGCTATGAGGATGCTTGATTTTACTGTTCTGCAGATTAATTTACACTTTTAAGGGGCTTCATGTTGGTTTGTTAATCCTAAAGGGATGCAAAGATGAATGCATAAACATTGCTTCATTAACAACTAGGGTTTGTTTTTTTTTCCAGCTGGATGAGAGAAACGTTCAATGCCAAAAATCCTGCTTACAGCAACTACAGCTTGTCAGAAGTTTATGTGCTTATTTAAAACCACAAACTAACTGCAAAGCCAATGTCTCTTCTCTTCCTCAAGTTTATTAAGAATTCAGTAAATCCCACAGAGCCAGAGCATTCGATCTTTTTACCCCACAAACCCACTTGCTCATGCGCTTTGAGATAGAATGCAAAAAGACCAGTTTTGATCCCAGCTTCCTATGGCAAGCACTAGTATCCCAAAACACACACAGACGTGATGCATCAGGCGTGTGTCAAGACTGAAGCATTCCATTGCTCCCACTACTAAGTATTTCACCATTGCCCCCGTTTTAAACGTTCAAACACAAACTCCTTGGTACTTCAACATACGTACTTGGATATTATATGTTCTTATTTGCATGGGCTGGTCTGTCAGGCAAAACAGCCTGGACAAGAAATTTAGTATAATAATAGCAGAATAGATATATCTTATTAATAAGGTATATTGTTGGTTGGAAAACATCATCACCAATTGAAACCTCCACGTTTTTATTCACGTAAGAACTGGCAGGTAGTTTGATAGTCACCTTCAGACAAACAGGACTGAGCAACACAAAGCACAGGGAGCACAGAGGCCTGGCATTGCCTTGTACCTGACGCCATGTATTCGGCCAAGCACAGCTGTATTACAGCAACACAGAAACGAATCTCTAAGTAAAAGGGGAAGCTGCAAATGAATGCATTGTATAAAAACAAAAAAGGAAAAATTTCCTTGTTTTGAGTAAAAAAATTTTTGCAAGGAAAACCAAGACTGATTTGGTAGGAGAAACTACAGTCCTGCCTCCCTCCACTTAAGGAAATCAAGACAACATCCAAATTGTATATAATTTTGCTAGTAATTTACTATCAATACCAATGTACTGGACATGGGCATTTCCAAAATTAACACTACTATGTTTCCTTGACATAAAAATCATTTGCGTCTGTTAAAGAAGAAACCTCCTCCCACAGAGCTTAGTTAAAAATGGTAAAGCATATCAAATGTGATTAATGCTTAATTATCACTGTGTTTAAACTGTACAGATTTTTTAAGATTTTTTTTTTTCAAATTGCTTAAAAGACCAAGAGAGAACACAGAGGTGCATGAAGGGAAAGGTGATGATCAATAGTGACACGCCTTGCACTGAAAACATTAAGAATTGAGGATCTTGGTGATCCTGCTCCTCCTCTGAGAGGACCTTGAGGATTCTGCCAGACACAAAGGAAGACCTTTCTCCCCAGAAAACAAGAACTGCCAGTGCTCCTGGGGAATTCTGGATAAAGCATGTCCTTGTCTCAAGCAGATGCTCTGTAAACGGAGATGCTCAGCCTTGAGGCCACCACGTTTCCCAGTGCATTCCCCAGCAGCTGTATCCATGACAGAGACAGAACTAAGAGCCCATTGGGACACATGGCAACTGGGAGGAGGATGTTTCCGTCTGAACAGTTCTCCTGGACTATGGCCTGTTTCTTGCACAGGTTTGAGGGCCTGTGGAAAAGAGCAGGCTATTCTGAATTATTCACACAGCAGAAACTCGAGCAGCAGCTCCTCTCTCACACACACCTCACCCAGCAGGCAGGGAGCTACGAGTTCACCTACAAGGCAGTGCTGGACACACAGCTGTACCACCTGCATTTATGACTGAGACACAGGTCAGACTGCTATACATCATCTTTTCCTGCCATTGCAAAGTCTATTGTCTACATGGCCCGAAAGCTTGGCTTCCACTGGTGTAAAGGTAGGGAAAAAAAAAAAAAATTTGCAGTGAAACGCTATACAATGCTTCCCATCGAAAAGGAGTATTTGCCGTACCACAAAGGAGTCCAGCGGGATGAATTCAGGAGCTTGCTCAGAAGCAGCA